CACACACACTCACACACACACACACCCACACACACACACACACACACACACACACACACACACACACACACACACACACACACACACATACACAAATATATATACATTAATAACAAAAATCTCATATTTAATTCTCGTAATACTATAGACACATATTAAGATACGTGTTTCTTGGAAACGGTTTTTACAATTTTGATGTAATTTAGTATCAGATAATGTTTTTTTTTATAGGATAAGGGTGACAAATGACCACACAGTCCACCTGATGGTAAGTGGTTGCTACGGCCCATAGATATCTTCATTTATCCTCGTTTGCGAATAAAAATGCAGATGCGTTGCCACCCGTGAGGACTAAGATGGAACGCCTCATTTCCAGTAAAAAAGGGCCTCCGGCTACCTGCACTCACCAAGCGAAACGCAGAGGTAAACCTCTACTTCACGCTGGTATTCTGTGAGGTCGTGGTATCACCCCGGTTCGAGTCGGCCCATTTGTGCGACAGCAAAAAGTAACGAGAAAATTCTATTTTTTTAACGTCAAAATACTGATATTTTTCATTAATGCAACAAACACTTTTTAAATTATTATGTTTTACATTAAAATAATACTAATAAGCCTTATCGGATAACAGTGAACCTAATTTTAGGCGTTACGGAAGCGGGCTTTGTTATAAAATATACTCGGAAACATCTAAAACCGAGATAACGGGGGTCAAAGAACCTTTTGACGAGCTCGGGAGGTGCTCCGTTTTTTAATCTTGCTCTCAATTTAATAGGGGCTTTCCGATTATACCAAAATAATGTTGTTCAACTCTGTTTCTTCTTTTAAAATATTAAATTGCCCACGTAATTTTTTTTCGAATTATCTAAATAAGATATTTAAAAACCAATTGTTAATACCTAATGCCTGGATCATCTGGTCAATGAATTACTACAAACCTAAATTTCGACTCAGTGACGCAATACACTCAACATAATACACAATATAATGTACTCAACTCAGTCTGCTGAATTGAGATTCTGGTGTCGCTTTTATATTTAATGTAACGTTTACGAACAGTAAAACTTATATTATATATATAAGGATGACAAACGAGCACACAGTCCACCTGAAGTTAAGCGGATGCTGTGGATTTTTTTTAAAACGTTACCTCCACACTAGCATTTTCTCCTGTATCCTGCAGTTAGTTCACATACAAAAAAAAATTTTTTTTATAGTATAGGGGTGACAAACGAGCACACAGTCCACCTGATGGTAAGTGGTTGCTGCGGCCCATAGACATCTACATCTATCCTCGTTTACGAATCAAAATGCAGATGCGTTTTCGCCCGTGAGGACTAAGATGGAATGCCTCATTTCCAGTAAAAAGGGTCTCTGGTTCTCTACACTCACCATACGAAACACAGCAGAGTTAAGCTGCTATTTGACGCTGGTATTCTGTGAGAGCGTGGTCCTTCCCCGGTCGAGCCGACCCATTCGTGCTACAACTATACTACTAATATAGCTGCAGCATGGCTCTACCACGTATAATTAATTAAGGACAAACATCCAAACCTGAAACAATCATTTGTAGACTATATAAATAATTGTTCCGGCGGTATTTGAACCCGCAACCGTCAGCGCCGCAACTCATTGCTAAGCCACTGCACCATAGCGCCGTCAGAATCAAAATGCAGATACATTATCACCATTTACTAAACCAGCAATAAGGGTCTTCGCTTCTCTACACTCACCATACACAAAATAGAGCAGTATTAAGCTGCTATTTTACGCGTAACATTTATAAACACACCTGTCACCCAGAGGGATAGGCAGACTATGGACTTCCTTTTGGCACATTCGTGGCACACTTCACTCGCTGATTGCATATCCATATATTTATCATAACATACAGGCTCGTCAGTTAAGGATAATATTGATAATTTGGCCCATCCTAAATATATCGCCAAGATGGTCGATAAACTTCCATCTAGGGCGTCTCTTGCCACTTCTGGAGAATATATTTGCTTTGTCACTCATTTCTCACTCAGTCTAGTAGTAGTCTCTTAAATCCTTGTTGCAACATATTCTTGCAAACCACACTTTTCTCGTATCACAAAGTTCCCTCTCTTCTTAATGACTGCATCTGAACAGCATTAATTTAACTCCCATGCATCTGCCATACCCAACTTTCACACAGCATTTTGCATTACCATACCTGACTTTTTGACATATTCTTACTTCCCACAATGGAGTGAAGTGCCCCATTTACTCTGTTTCCTGCATTCACTAGTCGTTCTATTATATGTGATGTCCACTATCCCTACTAAACACACATTCTAAATACACAAAGACATTTATTTGCTCAACCAACTCCTCTTTAAATCATACTTGACATATATTGTTTTACTTTCTTCTCTTGCAAAAACCATCACTCGTATAACTTGCGTTCACTTTCATTGCCCTCTCTTTTAATGCTACGTTCAATCACGTTCAATACTGTAACCGTCATTAGCAGCTCGCCTGCCTACGACACAAATATGACCTGGTAGTCGCATTATAATAGGTATTTGATGGCTTACTCACACATCCTTAACCAACGTCTTATGACATTCAAAGTTTTTACTCAATAAACAAATTGAAAATTCACGGCGAAGCTCTGTTGTACACAATTATGGTTGCCAAACTAATCTAACAAGCCACCGAAACATTTCCCTCCTCATTATTAATTATAGATATTACAAGACGATACTTATAAGAATAAAAAATAATAGCTTGAACATTTTGAGGACTGAAATGAGATAAGTAAAAATAATTTTAATAAAATGTTTTAATTCTTAATTTTTCAACATGAATACTTATCGAAGTGCAACAAAGGTAGGCTGGTTGTTTGCGGTCTATCGAATAAATATTATGAACTAAAGAACTGATAGCACATATCTATAAGTATAATATGTGTATAAGGTTCTAAGTGACCTGCGTTGTTTCACCCCTTTAATAGCCCACCTTTGCGCAGCTTTAATCACTAATTACTGCCAGGCCTAACGTGAACAAGCGTAACCCTTAAAGCATTAATAATTAAAATACTATTTATTTTATTATAATTTTATGAATTTAAAAAAAAACATTAATTTTGGGTAAATGATTTTCCCTTCTCGACGTTCTCGTTTTAACGACGACATGAAACTTCGCCAAGGAAACTGAATGTCTGAGAAATTTCACACACGCCTAGGAGTAGGTACAGGCTTCGTATCAAATCTAAGAGCTGTTTTTGTTGCCGAATTTCACATCATCACTTCCTCACGATTTTCCTTTTATCAAGTAATTAAATAAGCACATGAAATTGCGATTAATAATTGCAAACCACTGGTAACGTTAACTTATATAATACAAGCAAAAATAGTAGTTTTATTTAAAGAATAGTGTTCGCGTAAATATAAGAAATCATTATATATCATCATTTTATAAACTCTTACATAGCTATCCTATATAGCGTTTATATGAGGTTAGGCTCCTTCATGGCTAGGAATTCATGGCTAAGAATTCATGGCTAGGAAAGATCGTAAGGGCAGTCAGTGTCATTTATGGCGCCAAACAGCCGAACAGATTTTTAAATCATTTTTAATTTGAAATGTTGAATATTAACGCTATAGCACATTAGTAGAATGGGAATACTAGTATCATTACTGGTTGTGAAGTATCTTATTCCTCGGAAGTGACAACACTACTGTAGAATCCTTTATTTTAAATTGGTTGTAGGTGGCCATTAATCAAATGAGGTTTTTACTATCATACTGTCAATCAGGTAATTAGAGATTTTTGAACATTCTATTTTTAAAGAAAACAAATACAACGCATAGAAAAAGAAGGAAACAAAAACAATTTCCTTTACACTTGTTAGGAGTATGTTGTAATGCGTGAGTATACGTTGTATAACGAAATAATGATGGCGGGATACATTAAAAAATCATAAAACTCTAAAGGTAGCATATTATAAATATAAAAAATATATAATATAAATTGATAATTTTAAGAAAATGCTGCCAATCTGTCGCAAGCAATCGCTGCAGCTATCCAATTAAACTAAATAAACATTATATGTGCATATTGAAGTTTTTAAGCAAAAGTTTTAATAATCGTTCATATAGCTTTTGCCACTCGACCAAGTCAGCACGCAAAAACGGTGTAGCGTAGCATCAGTTGTCGTCTAAGGTTGATGGTGATCGCCAGACTGAAGTCACCATGGACAACAAGGTAAGGTCTCTTACCTGTCTTGCATATTTCATATAATTTATACAGCTATTTTAAAATTTCTTTAGTAGGTTTTCTTTCATTACTAGGGCTCTATTATGGCTCTACAACTTCTTCTTCATCATCATTACACCCTTAACCTTAAAGGTCCACAAATGGATATGGGACTCTCCATTAAATACTTTTAGCTTTAATCGTCACGCTTAAAAAGCAGATAGATTATCACATTTAAATTATCGCATTAAAAGCCAGCTGCCCTACATTTGTTACAGCAATCACTCTTTTTTTAGAATAAGGATGACAAACGACCACACAGTCCACCTGATGAACATGCAGCTATCCTGAATTAAGAAACAAAATGCAGTTACGTCATCTCTGAGGACTATGATGGAATGCCTCATTACCAGTAAAAAGATCTTCGGTTCTCTACACTCAACATACGCGACACAGAATTATTCTGCTGTTTCTCGTTGGTTTCTCCTGCGGCTGTAGGCCTCGGACTTCTGTAACAATTTTAAAAGTATAGACGCCTTGTCATCTTTTAGTACAATAATAAAATGCTTTATAATCCTTGTATATACCTTTCAAAACGGAAAATGTAAATGGATGCACTGCTGCGTGACTGCACAATTAATATTCTTAAGTTTTCTTTTTGACATAAACGCAATACTACTTATTTTTAATAATATGCTTATATAATAAATAATAATATATAATAAACTTTCTTACTTATTAGTATTATACAAGTAAGTGAGTAGTACGTGTTGCCCTAATGTTGCCAAAGACGACATGTATTCTTATTTTGCAGGGTAAAGAGAAGGGTATTCTCAAACTAGAACCCCGCCCTCGGGTCGTAGTCGACACTAAATCGGAACTAACCCCACAGGTAAGATATATTTTAATAAAAATGCAAGTACTTATTTGTGTCTGAGTGTGAGAGTGACGTAAGAAATAACTTCTTTGCTAAATGCCAGCCGTGTACGTGGCGTAAACTACTAACAAGCAAACTAGAACCCCGCCCTCGGGTCGTAGTCGACACCAAATCGGAACTAAGCTCACAGGTAAGATACATTTTAATAAAAAAACAAGTACTTATTCGTGTCTGAGTGTGAGAGTAACGTAAGAAATAACTTCTTTGCTAAATGCCAGCCGTGTACGTGGTGTAAACTACTAATAAGCAAACTAGAACCCCGCCCTCGGGTCGTAGTCGACACCAAATCGGAACTAAGCTCACAGGTAAGATACATTTTAATAAAAAAACAAGTACTTATTCGTGTCTGAGTGTGAGAGTAACGTAAGAAATAACTTCTTTGCTAAATGCCAGCCGTGTACGTGGTGTAAACTACTAATAAGCAAACTAGAACCCCGCCCTCGGGTCGTAGTCGACACCAAATCGGTACTAAGCTCACAGGTAAGATATATTTTAATAAAAAAACAAGTACTTATTCGTGTCTGAGTGTGAGAGTAATGTAAGAAATAACTTCTTTGCTAAATGCCAGCCGTGTACGTGGCGTAAACTACTAATAAGCAAACTAGAACCCCGCCCTCGGGTCGTAGTCGACACCAAATCGGAACTAAGCTCACAGGTAAGATATATTTTAATAAAAAAACAAGTACTTATTCGTGTCTGAGTGTGAGAGTAACGTAAGAAATAACTTCTTTGCTAAACGCCAGCCGTGTACGTGGCGTAAACTACTAATAAGCGAACTAGTAAGCTATAGTGAGTGGATAATAACCGTTTCATCAATTAAAAATGCTAAACCCGTCCCACAGTTCGGTAACAGTGAACACCATCACCAGCGCAAGGATACAAGTTAATCGCTCAACAACCCGCATACCAGTATAGTTAATATTAGGTAAATGTTTCATATTATGAAAAAATCCATAGTATTATGCAATTATTTAGTGCATTCTTTATAAGGACACTAATAAGAATATAGAAAAGAGTTGTCCTGTCGAGAAATGGCTACAAGTGCGCAACTGACTTTTTCGATGCTACGCATGTACTCGTATATAAGACGTTTCTATGGCCCTAGCGATATGTAGCGAAGATGTAATACCATGGGGTACTAATAAGTCGATGCAAGTTCTATATTATAGCCATTCCTTGTACCTGTGAGAAAGTATTTACTAAAGCATTTCCATGCTTAATTAATTTAAATTTCCGTTGCAAGATTTGACCCACATAACATATTAACACAGGAAATTAAATTTCAGGATTGATTAAATGCTTGTAATAAATGTAATGCATTACGGAGAGTGTGCGCAGGAATTACATGCATTAATTCCGCCCTCTCCTTTCCACCACTGGGTGACCAGGAGGTTTTTTTAAATAATTTATTACACAAAAGTACAGTCGGTTGTTTCTTAAATTACTTTTGCCAAACTGCAGGGCAGGTTGTTGGCGGATATATCACCCACTTACATTCTATGTACCTACCTACTACTGTAAGTAATATCTTATCTTGGATTTAAAACATAAAATAGAAAAATTAAATTTAAACTTAGCTGTGGTATTTACATACCTCACTATATTTAAGCTAATTTTTATTACACATATAAATATTAAATATTATTAAATTACGATTAAATAACTATTACTCGTATCGTAATTACTCAGCAACCACGCTTTGAACTTACTTTTAAATATTTCTTTATTACCATATTCATCTTCAGAAAATATTTCATTAAAAATACGTAGTACTAGATTTTCGCTCTCTCTCTCTCTCTCTCTGTCTCTCTAGGTCTTCATCATCACTTATCAACTGGTGGGATTGTGGGGTCTTGCACTGGCTTATGATAAGTAAAAAAAGACGTGTGATAAATGGATTACTATTTTTACGTCGTTAAACGACATTCTTCGCGTAATTAAAACAAAATAAGAATGTAATTTAATAAATATACACATATGTATAACTGAAAAGCATAACTTAATAAAAATGTACTCGGTAAATCGTCGCCGTTTGATGGTGCGCAGAAAACTGGATGATTGCCCGTTGTAATGTGAGGTTAATCCGCTGATCGAGGTATCTGCCAGCTTTTGAGTTACCATAAATATTGACGAGTTGGGATGAGATAAACTCTTTACAAACGTTGTGTGAAGCACGGTTCCCACAGTTCAAGCTTTTCTAGATAAAACAGCACAATCATTTAGCCCACTTCATGGACTGCAAATTTGCACCACCTACAAAACTAGAGAAACTGCGGTATTTCTCGTAGATACTTGTTTTAATTTTATTTCAATTTATGATAATTTATATAACCGAAGCTGAAATCAAGCTATTATTATCATCTATTAGATATTTAAATAATGTTTTTATTTATAATAAAAACTTTTGCTGTATAAAAGCTCCAATTTCCAACAAATCCTTATGCCTACGTATTGAAATAAATTCTAAAGATTTTTATAAATTTGTCCTTATTCTTACTTGATGGCCAGTAGTTGCTGACCAGATCCGAAACTGCACATTAATTCTGCTCCTTCACTATTATGTGCGATTCCGGTTCGTCATGCTTGGACGGAGTTCCTGTCCTCACTAGGTTGACCACCAGTAAGTTTATTATTTGCAGAAAAGGTTGGTACAGTTCCTCAATGAAATACATTATGTAATTCAATAATATGTAAACTTTTTTAAAGGTGTCTTTTCAAGAGGAATAATCGTAACATGGCCGGTTTTGGAGACAAACGTGGCCACCATTTTTTTGCAACACTCCGTGAACGAACGATTTTTGTTGGCTTTAACTCATTTTCGAACACCCAAACTCGTGACTGGTTTTTTGTTTCGGGTTCGTACGCGTATATCCAGGATTCGTCACCTGATACGATGTTGTATACAGCATTTGAGGATCCTGCGTGGAATCTTTCGAGAGTTCTGACGCACCAAGTAACGCGAGCCGCTTTTTGCTCTTCACAGTTTTTTGCTCTACACGTTTTCTTGGGTGACTGCAGTTTTTGGACGACCTTGACGGGGATCATCGCTGAGCTTGACACGTCCACGTTGAAATTCAGCAAACCAGCGATAAATTGTGGTTTTGGATGGGGCTTCATCACCAAATGCAGAAATCATTGGCCTTTCTTAATTTAGAACTGCTATTCTTTGTTTTTAAGTTCTAACCAGCAAAATAGGGTTTATAAATGAACAATCTCACAACTGTAATAATAAAGGCTTGTAATTTTCTATACATACTAAATTGAAGTGTATAAAAACGGTTATAAAATAACAGTCGATTAAAAATCACAATAAAACTGGGTCACAAACATTTGTGAACGCGACGGGAATCAGGGCACGGTCTTTACTAAGCAACGGCAAATTTACGTCAATTAATCGAACACCACGCACTCAACTACCTTAATATCTGTTATGTATTGTATCGAAATGAAAAATTAATTTAAATTAAATAAAATTTCTTTATTTATTCATCGAATTAGATTTTTGCCATTTTTAGCTAGTATCTGTGTTCAAGATTGAAGTGGTAAACACGCGTACGCAATTTTTTTTTTTGATAAAAAAATGAAATAAAAATAGTGATATAATTGCTTGTACTCGTACCTTTTTTTTTATAAAATAGAGGTGTTACATGTAGAAGAATATATTAATCTATCGAACATCATAACATCTTTGCTTTTCCTATATTGAATGTGATATAATTATTGACAGAGTTGTAGCCATATTATGTTCGCAGCACGAACAAGACAGCTCTACCGATGTAAGATCACGCTTTCACAAAATACCAGCATAAAATAGCAGCATAATGATGCTATGTTCGTAAGTAACCAGAATCAGAGACCCACTTACTCGTAATTATTCCATCTTACTTTTCAAGGTGGTATTTGATCAAGTATTTGATAGTAGTATCGCCAATCATAAACCTATATTATGTTTTTATTGTTCATAAATTCTGTCACTTCAGTTCTCTGCTGTTCGCATCATCAGTATGTTGATAATCTTAAGCTTTGAGTGCAAACAAGTATTAATGATCTTAATAAACTTGAAAAGCTACCAAAAATTCATCATATAGATTCGGCGTTTCATTTAGTCCATCCCAGTCAGTCAATCAGTCTAGATAATATACAGGACTGGGATAATGGTTAAGATTGATTACGCGAATACGAAGGGTAACCTGAAAGTTTTACATAGCTTATAAATAAAACAATTTCCAGAGATTTATATATAAACTAAACTGCTTTTCAAAGTATTCATCATTACATTTTAAACACTTTCTCATTCGTTCAAACCATTTGTAAGAACATGAGGACCATTGGTCTGAGGGTATATTATTCACGTACTGGTTAAAAATTATCACAGCTTTGTCTTGTTTTGCAAATTGCAACCTCAAATTACATCTTTGATTTTGGGAAAATGATAAAATCGCATGGTGCGAGGTCTAAACTGAGTTCAAGATGGGTTACGAGCTCCACCTTTTCAGTAGCCAAAAATTACTTTGTCTTGTTCGCAGTGTGCGTCGCGAGGCATTGTCGTGGTGCAATAGGATGCGACTTCTTGGTCGTTTACCTTTAACTTTTTCAAAGACATTGGGCAAACAAATGATGGTGTACCACTCGGCATTAACTGTATTTTGCTCATAAAGTGAGATTGTGTCGACGGGACCCGTCTGGGAGAAGAAATCCAATCATTTTTTCCCTATTCTTCTTGCCAGCCTCAATTTTGTTGATTAACTGCCGTCTTCAAACATTCATACAGAAGACTGTTGCTTTCTTTTTGGAATGTAACTATATACACATTTTTATGTTCTATCCCAAAGTCATACACAGCATTTGTACATCCGTGATTATACCTTAAAATATTTTTTACAGCAAGCAACTCGAATCGAATTCGATGCTAAGAGGACAATAATATTTGGCTCTCTGGTCCCCGTTACAAATGA